AGGATTTAAAAATTAGTTTATTATTATCATATAAGTATTATGGGTTTAGGAATATTAATAACCATAACTTAATAGTAGTACTTTTTTTTTTGGAATAGTTTATTTATAACAAATTAAAATACTCAAATAATCGGGGTATCACATGGGGACTAATAATTGACTAGTCAACCCCAAAGTCAAAGTTGTACCATGATCTTTGTAAGGAGTTCCCTCGTTCCTTACACTTCCTAATGTTAGTAAGGGCATTCTTTACCTTTCACATGGTGTTAGTATTCTAACCTAACCTAGTAGACCATCTTCATTCTATCCTTACACTTTCTAAAAATCTAGCTCCACCTTCTCTCTAAAAAGGTGAGTAGCTTTTCTTCCAAGCCAAGTTGGAGCCTTGCCAAGACTTCAAGAGTTGATTCCAAGATTCAACCTTTCTTATATTTGGGCATCTAGGAGGGTATGATCTAAGTTCATCTTGTGTTTTTGGTTTCATCTTAGGTGTCTTTTCTTAAAGGTAGGATCTTTATGATCTTATGGTTTGTTCTTGAAGTGGGTTTGGAAGGTGAGCCTTGAGAAGAGCTTATTAAGGTGTAAAGTGAAGTCTTTAGTCTACAAGAGGTAACCCATGCTCTACAAAATCTATTTTGCTTACCTATATGTGATTTCTTGGATTCTACTTGTGTTATTGATATGAAATGTGAGTGTTGATGCATGATCTTGTGAAAATGCATATCTAGAGCTTGTTTTTAGGGTTCTTGTGTGCCATTGCTTAGCATTTCCTTTGATTCAAGTCATTTTTGTTGTATTTGGTGAGATTTGGCATGTTTTGGACTTCAATTTGAGTTTGGAGAAGAAAATCCCCGAAGGGGTATTTTGTGGTACAGGGATGTACCCGCGGGCAGAACGGCGGGTAGGCGTCCAACCCGCCGCCCACCCGCGGGGTACAATGGCCGGGCAGCCTGTACCCACGGGCAGAACCGCGGGTAAAGGCCTACCCGCGGGTACATGTTTTGATGATGGCGGGGATTTGTTCCCCGTGATTCTTTTGACTCGGTATCTGGTTTTTTGACTTCCCGATGTTCTTTTGTGGAACTATTTGAGTGTCTTCTTGATGTTTTGTATGTCTAGAACTATGTGGTATGTATCCCTGTAGGTCTTTGGTATTTTGAATCGTGCTAAGTGTTCAACATTGTGTTTCGTTGAACCGTGATGAGTGTTGTGTGTTCCTCGGAACTACGTTTGGTTTACCCGTTTGATAAGCATGCTAGTTCGGTGTTTAAATGCTAGCGTGTGTGTTGTTTGTACCTTCTTATTGGTTGATGATAACTTGTGTTATTCATCGTTGTTGTTGGACTGTGATCCATTCCTTGATTGAGTATGGTTTCATATCTTCGTTGTGATCCGTTGATTGATTCCTGTTGAGGTGTGATGTGTGTGTGGCTTTACCTGGATTGCACGATTAGTGGTATGGGACACTAGTCACCAAGGTATTGCAGCGGTCCTCGTGGTGGCCGTGACGTGATTATGGAGTTGTGACCTTTGTGTAAGGTTCACGTATTTCTTGGGAGAGGCATGTGTTGCCGAGGCATGTGTTGCCATGTGTGTGTACGGTACCCTCGTGTACTATGAAATTGGTGGTCTCGTTGGCGGTCGTTGGGGGATGGGGACGACGGTCCTCGGAGGGAAAAGGTTGGACTTGGTTGTACAGGGCTCCTGGAGGTAATGGTTGGAAGAAGAAATAAGGTTGGGGATAGCCATAAGGCTGGAACCGGGCATAAGGAAGGCATATCAACTCGTGATGGGTGATGTCACGAGGGCTTGTGTAGCCGTTGTTTGTGAATTCTCTTCTTGTGACGTGTGTAGTCACAAAGGCATGTGTTGCCGTTGGGTGAGTCTTATTCCTTTGCGTTGTGCTTGTCGGGTTTTGATCTATTGAGTGAGGATAGATCATGTCTTGACTCTTCTTGTGAGTCATGTTGTTCTTTGTGGTCTTGGGATGTGTTCTCGTGTTGTTGTTGAGAATGTTGAGTCTTCTGTTGACTATTACTCTTGGTTTTGTACTTATTTATGTATTCCGTTTCGAACATGGCTTTATAACTTATATCTTATCTATGTATGATATTTCACATGTATTGGTGGGTTACCAGCATTATTCGCTGACCGGGCGTCGTCCCATGTTTTATTGTGTTCTTTCAGGTGATGTCTAGGCGAGCGCGCGGTCTAGTACTTGCTAGAATAGATTTCCCCTCTCGTTTTGTGGCCTGTGAGCCAGTGTAGATGTAGAACTTTGAACTTATGGGATTAGTTGTGAACATTGCAGATATTGCCTGGGCGTTCATCATTGTGGTGAACGTGGCATAACACCCTGTGTTTCAGACTTTACCTATCTATCTATCATTCAGACTTTCGCTGTGTTGAATGTTTAGTTCCGTTATCTGCATGTTTTAAGGCTTTTTATAGCATGTTTTTAGGGGGTGTTAAAAATCCAATCCTAAGTTCCAAGTCTTCTACTTCCCGAGTTTAACTCTTACTCTTTGGTTTAACCTTAGTCTTCAGGTTTGATCTTTGAAGGTTCCTTCACCATTGATCTCAAAAACATCCACTTGGCATAGTTTGTTTCCTTCTGGTTGCATCAGCATTCACACTTGTCTTTTCTTCACGATTGATAACCTTTAAACCTTCGTCTTTAAGTTCCCGTTGCTTCTTTTTCTTCATATTTGTCTCCAGTTGCACGAAGATTCTCTCCAGATTTTGGGGTTGCTTAAGTCTTGCAGATGATGCTGCTCGTGCGAGGATGCCTCTCTTTTCGAGCAAGGACAGCTGCAACTGACTCCAAACTGCACGTGGAGTAAACTCTTCATCACTACTTCTAACTTTCTTTTCTCAACAGAAAAGATCACACAAGCAAGGCACACAAACAAGATATAAGCGTAACTCTTATACTTATCACATTATCAACTTCCACATTACTTTTAAATTTAAACTTTCATCTCTCAACTTCCACTTTTCAAGGATGATGACAAGACTAGGCAAAGCAATTTCTTATCAAACAAACTTGAATTCACCAAATAGGTGTACACTTGATTTGAAGGAAATTTGAATCCACTGAAGAAGAAAGTAAGAGGTTTCTAAACTTGAAACTCAAGAGTACTACGGGTTACAACCCAAGTTCTGCTTATCAACACCAAGATTTTCCAAGAATAAGGCTTTCAACAAGATCTTACTAGCTTCAAGGTTCAATTATACTAGCATTACAAGTGAACGGAAGCTCACAAGAATATTTAGAAGGAATTTATAAGCATTCTAGATGTAGATTCAACAATAAATCGTGGAATGTCAAGAATAGACATTAGCAATGATTCAAGGCTCAACTCAAACAAAACAACTTCTCATACTCAACCCTAGACATTAGATAGCTTCGATAGATATTGAAAGCAAACTGAAAGTAGTAAGAATGACTCAGGGATCAATATCAAGCTACAAGAAAATTTCCAGATGCATAAGCTCAAACTCAATGATAAAATTTCAATGATTATCGTGCCATTAACAACAAGGGATTTGGAATGGAAGATTGGCACAATGAGCACAACAAGATACTCAGGAACTATCTGCTTTTAACTTTCCTTTTCTTAAAGCAAGGCTTACAACAAGTAAGGCACAAACACACAAAGGTATAAACTTGTATACCTCTTACTTTTAACAACTTCACAAAGTTTCTCTTTCAAATTTTAACTTCTAACGTTTTCTTTCTACTTGAGCTCTCAAAGTCTCAACTTCTAGCTTTCTTAGCTCCTCACCTACAGCTCTCAGCTTTTACTTCTACTTTCATCTTCCAAACTCTTGGTTTTTCTTTTTCAACTTCTCACTTTACTTCTCTACTTTACTCAAAGCAGATATCAAAGGCATAACAAGCACATTGGTAAATCATATAAACAAGGCATAAGTATAAACTCGTATACTTTCACATTGGCACTTTTATAAAACTTCCACTTTCAAACTTTAACTTTCACAATCTCAACTTTTAACTTTCACTTTATCTTCTCACTGAAAAACTTCTCTGTTTCACTTTCGGAAGATAGAAACAAGCACTTTAAACACATTGATAAAGCACAACCTATAAGCAATCAATAAGGAACTCACGACCTCACCGCGTTCCTAACTGATACTTAGAGTTTCTCTTAACTCTGATTCTCATACTTGGTCACTAGACTTAGAGTCCTTCTCATCTCAGTTTTCATAACTTAGGGCTCTTTCCCTAATCTTATCCTTCTTAGGATTTCACTTAAAGTTCTCATCTTAGCTTGTGTTTCTTAAGACTTCAACTTAAAGGTCTTTCCTTAACTTGTCCTTCCTAGGACTTTCACTTAGAGTTTCTATACTCAATCTTAAGGGTCAAACTTCCTAAGTCTCCCGCGGTTCGTACCGCTCTGATACCAATTTGTAACACCCAACTTTTCTAACTCTTAATTACATCTCTAAACAGTCATTAACAAAAACTAACACTACAAAAAACTACTTTTTTAGCGACATACATTTAGAGGCGGTTATATATAACCGCCGCTAAATGAGCAGTTCGCGGCAGTTATAACAACCGCCTCTAAATATTATACTAAAACTTTATAAATTAATGGTTAGTAACTATAATCTAAAAAAAAAAACATTAATCCAATTTAAAAAGTAAAAGTAGGAAAACTCAAAAATCCCTAAAAATTTCTCGCTGCCTCCTTAGACTCCCGGAGAGTGGAGACGCCATTGTCGCTGATGAGGAGGAACATCAGATCAACCGCCAGTCTGCCACCTCCCGCTGCTGACGACGACGTACAAGGTCAGACGCCACCTCCCGCTCCCTCTCTCTGCCGCCACCGACGCAGCAGATCAACCGCCAGTCCACCACCTCTCGCTGCCGCTGAATACATAATTATTGGGAACTCAAGGTAAGTTATTTTCAAAAACTTAAATTTACTGATTAAATGTAATAATTTTCCGTGTATGTTTCATCTTGGCCTAACTATATGAGTATGTATTTCTTTTCTACTGAATTACTGAAATAACCTAAAATAGCAATTAGTAATTGCATGATAGATCAATTAATGATGGATGAGAGATGGATTTAGATTCAAGTTCTGCAAAATAGATTTATTTATGAAGAAAGGTTTTTGAACTATATCAAGAAAACCACCAGTTCCAAGGTTTTAGATTCAAGTTCTGCAAAAAGTTCTTATTTTCACTTTCTTCATGGAACATGGAGATTTTGCTTAAAGGTTTTGACATAGAGGGTGGACTCATTTGCTATACAAGAAACATATTTTCATATACTCTTATCTAAAGCCTTATGCAGGACGCAAAGTAGTTCCAAAGTGTTGGAATGTTTATTCTGTAACCTGAAAGTGTAATTGGACTTAAAGGTTTAGATAGTATCATTTACTCTGGCTCTTTAGCATGCATTCATCCATATTGGGAGGTGAAGAAACTTGATCTGTGAACTTCTGTTTTCATAGAACATACAATTTTACTTTATCAAATAAATGTTCTTGAGATGATTATTGTCTAACATTCCACTTTAGAATGAGGCAATAAAGATGTGGCTTATTTATCAAATTCTATTTTTTAGTTCCAATGGTGATTGAGTTCCAATAATGATGGAGAAGGCAGATTCTGCACAGAACTTATATACAATAATGAGGCTGTGGGAATTTTCTGATTAATATGTCATTGAGCCCACAGATGGATCTTCTGTTTTGTGTATGGAAATCAGTTGGGTGGATGAATCTATGAATTTAATAGGTCGTCTGCTACTTACTGACATTCTTTTTTGGTTTTCTTTTACTTTTCTTTCCACCAACTAACTATGCATTTTATTTGGTGCATGTTTGCTTCTTTAGATGAAATGCCACATTGCAGCACTCTTTGTGTTCCAAAAATTCAAACAATCTTTGGTGTTGTTGGGATGCTAATGTAACACCCCGTGTTACGATCCCTAAAACCAATTAATCATTTAACCAATTACCCAAAAGAAAGAATTAAATCACAATAATTAATTAGGAGAGGCCCACCATAGTCCATGGGCCCTTATCCCTAAACCCATTCCTTAGTCCTAAAAGGAATAGAGTTAGCAAACCTATAGTAATTAGGCCCTAAGTAAGACTCTTAGATATATAAATAGGAAACATAAGGAGGCACCTAGAACTCCCACCACAATAATCTCTCACCATACCAAGAATTCAAAGAATTCCCCTAGGAGAAATCAAGAAAGAAGAAAGCTTAAAGAAAGACCCTTCATAGCCAAGGAATCAATTAAGGCTAAGAGGTAACCCATGTCTCAACAAAACCTATTTTTATAGCTATGATTACCCTCTTAGGATTTCCCCATATTATTGTGTATTGATGATTCGTGATATTATTATTGATGATTGGTGTGATGATTCCATGGGTGATCTTGATGATGAGTGGTTCTTGATAAATTATGGTGTTCTTGATGATTATATGACGTTCTTGATGATTATATGATGTTCTTGGTGATTGTAGGATGTTCTTGGTGTTTATGTGATTTTCTTACCGAATCGTGATATTAGAAGATGAATTGTGTCCTTGATGATTTAAAAGTGATTAGAACCCTAGGTTGGATCGTATGATATTATTCTTGGTGTATTGGGTGGGAAATCGCATGTTCGGGTGTTAATTATGTTTAGAAAAGCATGATAGGTTATGTGCCGTATGTTTCTTGATTTTGATCCGTTAATTGTCTACGTGTGTTATCAATTGCGTTTGAAAGTGTCTAAGCATGGTTTCGGGTTCCACAAAGGTTCCCGGGGCGTTAATTGATGAAAAAGAGTCAGTGGGGGGTAGGTGGGGGTAGGGGACCCGCCACCTACCCGCGGTCAAGATAGGCAGTCCCGGCAGCGGGCAGCCGGCGGGCGGGCAGCTGCCCGCCGGACACCCGCTGCCCGGAACAGTAACGCCGGCGGGTGAACCCTCACCCACCGGCTACCCGCTGGTTTGCACCCCAATTCGGGATTTTGGCTCCCCCGTTTGATGTTTCCCCGACCCCCGTGGTGTCCCAACGGACTCCGTCTATCGTGCCTATGTCTAGTTTGATATTTCGGGTACCGTTTGTAGGTTGTATGAGTCTTATATATTGCATGCTAGTTGAATTGGTACCCCGTTGACCTAGGTGAAAGAAGTATGAACCCCTTAGGTTTATTCTTACTATGTGAAGGATCACGCATAGGTTTTGTTATACGTTTTCTCCCCTTCCCAATGTGTTAATGTGGGTTGCATGTGCTTGCTATGTGTTATGTGTGCATGATACCCCAATTTGGTTGCGATCAAATGGATTATACGGGCAGTCGGATGGGTTGAGAACCATACTGACTGTTAACCAGGCCGGTTGCGATCGGTCAGGTATATAAATATTATATAGGGCTGCGGTCCACCGTTCTACATGAGCTGCGGTTCATTTTCCTGGCTGCGGTCAGATGACATACTCTTGGGCTGCGGTCCACTGTTTGGTTGCGATCAAACTATGATGAGCTGCGGTTCATCAGTCAGTTGCGATCGACCCCTCCGTATGGTGAGACGGGGCAGGGTGCTGCGGGGCCGTGTCAGAGCTATATGCGCTGACCCTCATGTATGGGCATGCGATTGGTCCTGTGGCGCCAACAAAGTGTGCTTATGTGATGAGATATGAATGAGTTGTGATTATGAGTATCTTGGGGATGTGACTACGGGATTTACGTTGGGGATTGTTCACGTTGGGTTATGATTATTGATTATGCTCAGCCTTATCTACCTTGCGTGTTGCGAACTATATATGCTTGTTATAACTGCCGTTTGTGCTTAGCTCTATGTGTCGAGTCTATCCCTGTTTTAAATGCTAGAGTTCGTAGGATATATCTTCATGTTCAAAATGGTTTTCATATATCTATATATATCTCTATATGTATTATATTTCAACGCGTTGGAGTGGGTTACCAACATCTCTCGCTGAACAGATATATTTGGCTTTCAGGCACAGACGAGTAGATCACTGGAGCGCGCTAGAAGCTTGGGGCGTAGCTTAGATAGTTTTCCCTTTCGGCCTGCGTGCTATGACTTTGTATTGATACTGATTGAGGTTTTAGAATTTAGCCTGTGCACCTGAGCTCTCTAGCTCGGGTGTGGCATAACACCCCGTACTCTTTGTATCGTATTTTGGGATTTAATGTGATTCTACCTTTATTATATAAGTTTTAAAAGTCTTGAAAATCTGGGGTGTTACAGCTAAAGCTTGGTGCAGGCAAGTTGGTGTTATTTGATACTAATACAGTTTTATTTTTAGTCCTGCCCGATCCTTGGTAGAATGCTATACTAGTTTTTATAAGTAATCTGCAATAAGTTTTAGTCACTTGCTAATGAACCTTGGATGACTACGATCCTTGATTTTTGTTTGTTTGATTGTTTTTTTTTTTCCTATTTGATATGCTTCTGTTTCAGTGTTTCGTTTGATCTCATGGGAGGGATGAAGAAGAGACTAAGAAGTGGAGTGGTTTGTTACTCTGCGGCTCTGAACCCTTGGAATCTCCATTGGGTCTGCAGTCTCCTCTGTGTAAGTAAATATCTTTCACTGTTTTCGTTGTTATTATTTTTACTGTTTACGCATCCTTCCTTATTTGTAAATGTTTGGCAATAAAATTATAGCACAGTCTCTGGTCTTCGCTTCTTTTCCTCCCTTTTACTCTGAATCTTCACATGATTACTAATTTAGTATGACATTGGGGCTAATTTTTAGGTCAATGCTGTGTAGTATGAGTGCCCAGACTTGCATGTTTTATTCTCACAATTCTTCGATTCTCTTCCTTAGGGTTTTGATGCTTTCCATGGGAACTTCTATTCATAAATCTTTTCTTGTTCCTTTATTTGCTTTGCAAGCCCCTTCAACTCTCGTCTCATGGATCAAGTAAGCCTCTCTCCATAATTTTTGTGGTTTATCGTCAATGCTGGTAATACTCTTAGTGTTTGTGTTTTTTGTATATATCTTTGTATGCTTATTAATCTCAAGTCCTCTTCCTTGTAGTTTTAAATTGAAGAAAATGCAATATGCCACTCTTTGTTTTTTTAATCATTTTAAAGTATTTGTCTCTATGGTTAGTGCAGGTTGTTGAGTTCTCTACCTCCAAAATAGGGAAGCATATATGGACTTTCGAAATGTGTTTATGTAATTATGTATGCAATGTAAGTGCCTTATTTAATGTTCTTTCTGCATCTACAATTTACACATGGTTCTTTAATTAAACCCATATTCTTAGTAAATTTGACCTTTTAACCTAGTTATACCTTATTACCTTGCCATGGCAGAAAAGTTGTTTGACTTGCATTATACTTTTATCACTTTTAAGTATAAAACATTCTTTTCCTCCATATAAAAATTTATAATGGTGAAAGATGAACTTTTGAGTGATTTTTAAAAATAAGATGATAAAGATTTTGTAGAAAGTTGATTTATAATGCTATAAGTTCTTTCTTCTTCTTTGCTGACAACAATGTATCACTGTATTTGTATGTTGGAGGGGGATAGAATTTTGCAGATAAATATCACCCCACCCCACCCCAACCCCCACCTCAAAATTACTGGTTTTTATATTATTTTCGTGCGTAGCATGTACAATTATAGTAATTGTTTGTTGGAAAAAAGTGTTATTTTTTATTAATGGGTTTGTAAATTACATTTTTTTATGTAGGTACAGCCGTACAGGTACTAAATGAAGGAAGTGACCATTAATCTTCATTGGATAGTGGAAAGTAGTATTCAACTTCTACTTGATAGATGGGCAATCTCCTACACAATATCACCCTGTTGATTAGTTACAATTGATTTTCTTTTAATATGTAGACTATGTGTTTAAATATTGTTGAATATTATTATTTGGTGAGCATTACAATAAAATTTATTTTAAATTGAATGTATGCATGGAATTTATTTGTAGTTGAAAGTAGATTTACGAGAAAAAAAATATAATTTAATGACAATTATAAAATAAAAAACATATAAAAAAAATACCATGGAATTTTTAGGTACAGTTGATATTATTTAAAAAGAAAATAATCGCCACATTTAATAACCACCGTTATTATAAGTTAAAATTTAAATTAAATAATTTAAATTCAAAATAATTAATGGCGGTTAATTACTAGCGGCGGTTGTGCAACCGCTGCTAAATAAGAGATTCATATATTAATAAATAGTCAATTAATTACTAGCGGCGGTTGCAAAACCGCCGCTAAATTAGAGATTCACATATTAATTACTAGCGGCGGTTCCAAAATCGCCGCTAAATAACGCCAAAACCGCCGCTAAATAAAATAGATTCAAATTCCCGCGGTTGCATAAAATCGCCGCTAAATTGTTCGCGACACACTATTTAGTCACACATGAATAACCGCCGGGAAATGCAATTGCGGCGGTTGTAAACCGCCGCTAAATAACATATAAACCGCCGCTAAATGATCAATTTGGTGTAGTGTAAGCAGCGGAAATCTAGATGATAAATAGTGGGAGTGTCACCGCCACAACCACCACTCTTGGGTGATCGCACAGGCGAAAGGGGCAAAACTACAAATACTATTAAGTCTGGGAACTAAAAGTAATAACTGTAAAAGTAAGGGGGAATTACGTCACCCCAAAACAGTCTACAACAATCCATCATCATGAAGTCATAAATTCTAAATCCATAACATCATCATCAATAAAAACTAGAGTTTAGACAGCTCAAACTAAGAGACTAATCTAACTCGATCTCTTCTCACTGATGGGCTCACCTGAAAAGGGTTTTGCAAGCAACACATAGACAAACAGGAAAAACACCCGTTAGCACGAAGCTAAGTATAACCACACTCAACCTTGTAAAGCATTCTAGCATGTACTTGGAAAACATTTGATATCATTATATCAATAAACTAATCTCAAAATTATCTTT